TTATGTACTAACGATGAACATGTTATTGCCAAGATGTAATAACTTTTGTTGGAGATGAATATGGAAAATGAATATGTTAAGGATTGTATGCTTAAGTGGACAAAAAACTTTGGATATAATATAATATTGGATCAATGGGAAAATGTGTGGAACAAAGGTTTGAAGTTTATTTCAATTACAACTTAAAAGAACATTTTTATAAAATGATGTACTGTTGGCATTTGAAACCGGATAAATTATCTAAGATGTACGAAGGAATTTCAAATATATGTTGGAAATGTAACCAGTGTGAAGGTACTTTTTATCATCTCTGGTGGACTTGTGAGAAAGCTAAGAAATATTGGGATATGAAATGTATTTTGATTCAAAAAATTTTAAAAATGGATGTACAAATGAAATCAAAGATTTTCCTTTTAGGTATGATGGATAAACAGATGGAAAGAAAACATGGGAATTTATTTCTCTGTATGGTAACAGTAGCAAGACTTTTATATGTGCAAAACTGGAAATATTTACAAATACCTACAGCTGAAGAATGGATAGTGAAACTAATGGAATTGGCGGAGATGGCGAAATTGACTACTTTGATTAAACAAAAGACATTGTCTAGCTTTGTTTCTATTTGGAAACCACTCTTGGACTTTTTACTTGAGACTCAAAAAAAATAAATTTTGATTTTGGGATTTGATGATAGTACAAATCAATTCAGAGTTCTCATTTGAGGCACAAATGGTCAGGCTCCAATTATCATATTTTGGACTTTATGCAAAGGCCTAGCTCTCTGGAGAAGTCTATAATGGGACTTCTGGAACAAGAAATGGCAGACTGAGGATGGCTGCATGAAAAGAGGAGCTGACGACTGTGGCGAAGAACGAAGAGTCGGTGAGTAGCAAGATAGCGGTCTCCAGTGGGTTTAGAACTTTGGGAGACAAGGGAATAGCTATCTTGCTCAAACCGCGATTGCCGCCTTTGAAAAGACACTGGGTTTGCATACTTCCTTTTCTAATCACTTTTGGAAATTGCTTGTTAACTGCTTTTTTGCTATTATAAACCTTTGTATTGACAAGTTTGACAGTACTGGTGAGTTTCCCTTCAATCCTTAGCGAAAGGAAGTTTTAACTACAAGTTTAAGAACTTTTTTTTTTTTGAATAAACAGCAAAAGGGTAATTAAAACTTTGATTTTAGAAAGTTTCAAACAGTCTGAGGGTCCAGATAAATTTGAAATAAGATTTTGGAATTAATTATGAAGAATCCTTCCCATGGGAAAATGCTTTTGTTTTTATTTTTTTAACTAATAAGATAAGATTTTAAAGATTAGACACCAGAGGGAACTAAAGATTACAATAAAAAAAAAAAA